CTCTCTCTCTCTCTCTCTCTCTCTCTCTTTCTCACACACACACACATACACACATGATCTGATGCCACCATGATTGTGTAATTATCTGTAAGAAATTGGAGACAACTCTTCACATTTTTCACATCTCACCTGACTGACAGTGATTTCATTGTCGTGGTTAGGTTATAATGGGAGAGTAAGTGAAGGCTCAAGAATAAGTGAAGCTGTCTGACACTGCTTGTCCTAAATATATCATTCATTTGACATATCTCCCTCACTGTTGGAGGACGTGAACACCGGCTGTTTAAACAGGCCCTGCTGTATGCATCATGTCACCCAGGTCTATAATAAGTAATATAAATTATACTTACTGTGTTAGTTTTGGTTTCTGCACTGCATCTATAGTGTGAAATGGGCTTATGATGCACTAATGGTTTAGTTTTGATATGAATAAAAACAAGATTCTAGATTGATTTAGCAGAAAACACCAGATACTGAAAAGAAACAGATTTGATATAAAATATAAAGAAAATAAAAGGACTTAAACATTATATGCTAATTTTGAGCAACAGTGCAAAGTGATACTGTCTTTAGTTGTCAAATAGTGACACCTGCTGGATGATGGTGATCAAACCATGTTCCTTTGGCTACACTTAATACTTCATAAAGAGTACAGACAGGGGACAAATTAAAATTTAGTTTGTATTGATGGTGCTTTTTTCAGAATATAATGTATAATTTTATGTTAGACAGTTAGATCCACAAATAAATGTCATGAAATCAAATAAAAACATCTAATGTATTCACAGATATATTAAACTACAGTTGCGCTTAAATTTATTGTACAAACATCCATTTGAAATATTTCTTATCCTAACTCATAGCCAAAAGATAACTGTGTTTCCCTCAGTTGAGTGAAATATATATAGGCTGTGTACTGTGTAAAGTCGAACTGTAATACTGTTTTTCAACACTGAAAAGAAAGTAAGAATAAAACGTTGTACTTGTCCACTGCCCACCTCCTGTGTGACAAATCAGTGTGCTTAGACCACAGTGACATACATCTGAATCTCTTCGCCAAGGCCATATATATGCCACAAGCATTGAGATCTAAAAATGAGCCTCAGTGTTAAACAGTATGGGATGTTTTCAGAAAAAAGTTTTAAAGCATAGTGTTATTAACAAAATGTTGTTTGGGATTTTAAGATTCTTGTGGTGTCCCTTAAGTTTCTTGGTGTTTTCTGTTCTGCTTAAACTTAAAGTTTGACACAGCTGACAGTTTTCATATACAGCAATCGATGTTTTAGATACATTTATGTCCAAAAAAACAAAAAACAAAAATCCAGCCTTACCTTTTTAAAAACCTCTACTCGCAGTCTGTTGGTTTGTGATACAGCCCTCTTTTTCTCATCCTCCTTTTTCTTTGTCACCTCTGGCAGCTTGTTGTAAATCCTACACCACAAATTCATACAGGGCAGGAGAGCATGAGCATGGTATAAGACATCTAAGGGTGGCTGAGCTATGCCAGTGGACTGGCATACCGGAGACAAACTATTATCTAGTGAGACCAGAGTTGGTGAGAACCTGGATCCACTGATAAACAGGCCTCACATAGACTCTGTTTTTACTACCACAACTACAGGCAATTTGTTAAGAAGATCCTCTAAGTCAGATAGTGTTGCTCTTAAAAAAATTACAATGGCCAGCCATCATCTGATCAGGTGTGCCTTTCCAGATAAGGAAAGAAAAAAAAGAGATAAGGTATACAGAGGGCAGCTCATACCGCCAGTCAAAGCATTTGGGCATCAAACATTTACTGTATTGTATACATACAGTATCTGGGTATGCAAATGTGCACTGTGTTTGGGCACAAACCTGCATGCATAGCAAGACAAACAAGCTAGACACACTGTGCTGAGAAAAAAAGAGGATAGACAGAATGACGTGTTTGGCCTGGAGAACTCACCGTCTGGACCTCAGCTGCATCTCTCTGCCTGATATAGACCTTTCTCTTGGCTTGAAAAGGTTATCTAGGACACACACACACACACACACACACACACACACATACACAAGCACATAAGAATAACAAATTAGAATTAATATGTAAATTGTTCTTGACTATGTAAATGAAGACATGACTGCTCTTTTTCAGACCGTTACACGCGTGTATTAAAACACACACTCATGCACATGCACATGTATGAGGACTTATGAGACATACATCATACAGAATCATATCCAGTCTTATTAAGGCACTGCACTTTTTTCCTGACTGCCTGTTGCTCAGGTCAACAGCACCAAGAGCCTTTGTTTATAATGAGACTTCAGTCAGAGACTAGTGTGAGCTAGTCAAGTTTCTTTAGTCCATCACTTGGCCATGACCTTCTTAAAATGTAAGAGGAGTGATTCAGTTACCTGAGGTACATATCAGGCCCCCCTACTTTATAAATGTTTTACTAGAGGGTCAAGCAGTCAGGTGCCCAGTGCTGCAGGACTTGCTGTGAAGAAAAAATCCTGTAAATAATCTGCCGAGTTGACTGTGTGAACATGTTGCAGAAGCACAGATGTACTGTGCACATTGTTATGAAAATTTACTACATCTTTACCTTTAAAATTACAGACAATCTCTGTCTTGCTAGATTTTTAACAAATGTTGATAGGCATTTTGCAAAGAAATATGTTTTTCTAATCAGCATACTGCACTTCACATCACATCTAGGCCTCAGTTCTTATGCTTGATCTCATTTTATCAATTAATATTTATGATATTTTCTTTTTCTGATATGGCACTGTATATAAATGCTTGATGCATATTTTGACTTTGTGTGGCTGAAGTAGAAAAGAAGACATTTAACGGATGCATATATTCTAGACATGTTTGGTCTCAACTTGTGTGTATTCCTCACATACAGCCTTAGAGAAAACACCAACTGATCTGCAATACTAGATAATGGCCAGCAGAGAGCAAAGTTGGATAAATGCCACTAGGTGAACAATATGTAAAACCCTCCTTTCTCACCCCCCAAACCTTGTGAAATTTATGAGGTTAGTATTGTAGTATTTGCTGGGTTAAAAAGGGTCGGGTCCCATTTTATTTCCACACACAGGTGCAGCCACACAGCAACAGAACACCTTCATTGGACAACCCCACCAAAACCCCTCTGAACTGTATACGCACTGTCCCAGGCATCGTGGGGCATCCCACTAAGTCTCTCTCGGCTCTCCTAGTGCCACAATGTAAATTATTTGAGAAGCAGTTCATAATTTGTTGTGAAGCCAAATAATTCAATATGGCCACAAGTTCTTTATTTACATTTTTCCCCAGGGGTTTGACAAAGGTGTTGGTTTCAGAAGTGATGTCACAACAGACTGCTTTTGACTGACTCGGGAGCTATGAGCTCAAAGACTGTGACTTGCTCCCTGTTGTCACCAGGGCCAATGCTACACATAAGTCCCATGATCTTCTGTCATATGACCCACAGTTGTTGTTATGTCACTGTTAATCATTTGTGGTCTGACAGCAGAACTGAAACCTTGAGAATAATTATTTATAATTCTTTACTAACTCTGGTCTCACATATCAACTTCTGCATTCGGCAGAGGTATTTAGCTTACCACTAAGTGGATCTGGTGTGGTGCAATTTCTCTTTTGTTTGCCTCTATCCTCCCTGAGGCCCTGCAGCAGGTCTGGATTGGAGTCCTGCAGCGCTCTCCTTCTCCTGGCCTTCTGCTCCAGCCTCCTCACACGACCTTGTGATCGGCTGATGAAGTCTGGCCTGAAGAGCTCCAAAGCCTCCTGGGGTGGTGTGAGGGATATATACAGTAAGCTGCATGTTGGTGGGAAGAATACAGTACAACTCCTAGAAAATATCCTTAATCTGTTCCTTAACCTTAGAGAATCCTTCACACAGTGTTGTTACAGCTAGAAGGTATAGGAAACATGGTAATACTATTCTCAGTTTTAGTGGGGATAAAGGTCAGAGAGCCTTACTCACAGGGGGATTATGAGTCCTTTGGAAAGCCCAAACCTTAGTGGATCTTTACAGCTCTCAACACTGAGATAAAACCTCTCAAATTAACTGGTAGAAAGACAAATAAAATTACATTAAAAAAGAAAAAGGAAAGGTAAAAGTGAAATTACCAAAGATTTTTATTCGTCCTTTACTTGGTAAACACTAAAGCAAAAATCTTCTGTTGTGTTTATTCCAGCAATAAACACTTTAGGATTCTCTGTGTGGGAAATCTTAACTGAAACAGTCTAATATAATATATCAGCTGTAACGGTTCCATATGGCACATACAATCCATCAAGTCCTCCATGCTAAATGACATTATGGACTGCACTTATATAATGCTCCTCTACCTTAACTGGACAAAGTGCATTACAGATACACCTATCCATCCATTCACCCACACACACACACACACACACTTGTGACGGTGGCCTGGCCACTGGGACCAAATTGGGGTTCAGTGTCTTGTCCAAGGACACTTCGACATGTCGACTGGGGAGAACAGGAATCGAACTGCCAACTCTGTCCGAATGACATTTCGATGTCCTGGCTGTAGATCCTAGTGGTGTGGATCAGTGAGTCGATGTCTTGTTCACTCCTGGCATACAGCTTGATGTCATCCATGTAGAGGAGGTGGCTGATGGTTGCTCCATTCCATAGTCGGTATCTGTAACCGTTCTTGGTGATGATCTGGCTGAGGGGGTTCAGGCCTATGCAGAACAGCAGCGGGGACAGAGCATATCCTTGGTAGATACTGCACTTGATGTTGACTAGTGCAATTGGCTTGAATTTGGTCTTTAGGGTTGTTTTCCACATTTCCATTGAGCTCTTGATGAAGGCTCTTAGAATCCTGTTGATGTTGTACAGTTCCAAGCATTCCACGATCCATGTGTGAGGCATTGAGTCATAGGCTTTCTTGTAGTCAATCCAGGCAATGCACAGGTTGATGTGCCTAGTCTTGCAGTCTTGAGTGACTACTTTATCAACCAGTAGCTGGTGCTTTGCTCCTCTGGTGTTACTACCAATTCCCTTCTGGGCGCTGCTCATGTATTGAGCCATGTGCCTGCTCATCTTAGCTGCTATGATGCCTGACAGGAGCTTCCATGTTGTGCAGAGGCAGGTTATTGGGCGGTAGTTGGATGGTACTGCTCCCTTCTGAGGATCCTTCAGGATCAGGACTGTCCGGCCTTCAGTTAACCACTCAGGGTGGGTTCCATCTATTAGTAGCTGGTTCATTTGTTCCGCTAGGCGCTCATGGAGTGAAGTTAGCTTCTTTAACCAGTAGGTGTGGATCATGTCAGGGCCTGGTGCTGTCCAACTCTTCATACTTGAGACTTGCTCTTGAATGTCTGCCATTGTGATGATTACTGGGTCTTGTGCAGGGAGGTTGCTGTGGTCTGCCCTCCGGTCCCCCAGCCACTGGGCATTGTTGTTATGTGATGCCTCCTTCTCTCATATGCTCTTCCAGAACTGTTCGGTCTCCAGCCTTGGTGGGTCTGCTCTCATGTTATTACCCTGCCACTGAGAGTACACCTTGGATGGCTCAGTGGAGAACATTTGGTTTTATTTCTTAGGTACCCCTTTCTTCATCACGCCTTTCTGCAATTCTGATAGCTGGCTAACTTCTCTCCGTGCTGTCTTGAGAGTGGACGTGCTTCTCCTACAAAGAGGGAACAAACACCTAATACTGCCCCCGGAAAGCTGCGCTTGTAGCCACACTGCGTCTTTGTTCTAATACGAACCAACCAACTCTGAATTCGCATTAAATATGTCTACTATGATTTGTTGTCACACCCCTCAGGTTATAATGTATGACCAACACAGAATAAGTACGAAACTCGATAGCAAACGGGATCCCGAGGACTTGATTGCAGTCACTTCAAGCCTGATAGTTTGCCTCAGCAGCACACTTAAAGTAGAAGCCCCTCGCCATCATGGTAACAATCATAAACACACAGTTACAGTTATAGAGCTACCCACCCATCTGCCCATATCGATACTGGGGCTGGGGCCACACCCAGCTGACATTGGGTGAGATGCAGGGGGTTACACCCTGGACAGGTGTAAAAGATTGTGGTTTAGGTTAAAATAACTACTTCCTTAAAGTTACAGGACCCTCATTGCCATGGTTACAATAATAAATATTTAGTTATGGCTGTGAAGCATTATTCACTAATATTGAGTGGTATATCTCATAATAGAAATAATAAAATTGTATTAAATCTGTATAAAAATGTGACTCCTACTTTGAGGCTGAGAGTCTTGAGTGTCCCTCCCAGAGCCTTCAATTGGGAATGAAAACAGGGCTTATGCAAAGCTGAGACTTTACAAGGTTCTGAAGAACTTGGATGTTCTTGTTGTTCCTGCATCTTGCCACTCACTTCATCCTTGCCCCATGTTCCGGAGTCCACTTAGGAGACGAGAGGGGGGAAAAATAATTGTAAAATGTTATTTGGCAAGTCATTTTGTTACCATTTGGTGTTGCATAAAAGATGTAATCTAGACAATTGTATTCTCTCATGCTTTCATAAAGAGGAAGAGTTATAGTCTTCACATGCTTGAGTTAGCATTTATGATCTGGAGAAGCAGGGAAATGAGCAGACCTCCAACCGACCCTAACACACCCCCATACACACATGCACACATAAAGGTACACTACCCTGACAACTCATAAAGAGAAAGGATTCAGAGTGTGGCCTATGAATAATGTAAAAGATGACAATGCATCCGCCCTGCACCTGTAACACAATTCCTCTACCTTCTGTGGAGTCTATATCCCCACTGAATACGCTGCCATGAACATGTGGCTGTACAGTAGGCAGAGCACATGGAGCACAGACAAAACTGTGTTGTCTCTGGACAAGCTATTTCTACAAAACAGGACTTTGTTTTAGATAATGGAATAAATTAACTGAGTAGAAAATAAATGATGTAATGAGTAGAAAAACTGCTTAATTATTAAAAGTGTTGTGTTGTATTTTTTGAGACAGCAGGCAGCTAAGACTGAATTTGCTTCAGGAAGTGACTACAAGCTTTCAAGTCTTTTTTAGCTACTGTGGCAGTAGTGCACAGGCCTCCTTACTGCAGTACCAAGTCTTATGGCTCACTGCAATATCAGTAAATTCATTCAACTTACCATTTTTGCCACTTTCTGACTTAAAATTAAACAAATACGCTTCAGGAAATGGAAAAAGTACTAGCTAGCCAATTTCTTGGCTGTATCCAATGACAGCAAAATGAGATATAACCTGTTAAGTACCTTTAGAGATGCTTGCAAAACTATCCTACGTATTGGTCAACATATCAACACTGTTGCGTTGGGACTTGGAGGTTCTATTACAGTAGCTTCCATTTTTATAATTAATAAAAAAATCTCCTCAGTGTCAAACCATAATTATAAATAATAATTTAATCATAAATAAGCATAA